AAAACAAAGTATATTTAATAGTTACAGGCGTTTTTATTATGGATTTGTTTGTTACTGAGCAAAATAATACAGATATTTTGTTTTCTGTCTTGACATGAAAGTGAGAAAAGACCAGTAGATGTTGCTCCTTATCTTTCTGCTTCACACTGAAAGATTAAGAACTACATTTTTCAAACAACTTGGGACTATCCTGGTCTTGCCACACCATTGTACTGTTTTCATTTCCTGCTTAAGGTCTGGATGTGCTTCATTGACTCCGTGAACAGGTGGGAGGGGCTAACTCCTTTTACAGATTGAAACCATTGGATCTGAGTTTACTGTGATGAGCCCGAGTGAGTGAGGCATTTAGCCTAGCTTTAGCATGTAGCCTAGCTTTAGCCATCTCCTTTGCCACTAACGGAGCCCGTGGGGAGTAGAGCCACAACATCTTTGCTTCAGTGACATTTACTAAACATTCCTCTTGCTCCGGCTTCAGTTTCTTGATATTTGGATTGAACCAGAACAGATTATTTTACTATCGCATTCTCCGACAAACAACAACCAGAAAATTCAGCAAAAACTCTGACGTCACCGACACGACCTACAACACCCGCCTCCCCCGCTCTCTGATTGGTCAGAGAGGATTCAACCGAGGAAACTGCAGCCACTAGGATCAGACCCAGACGTACATGTAGGAAATGACCATGGACCAGAGTTTACACATGGTAAGACCAGACGTACATGTAGGAAATAACCATGGACCAGAGTTTACACATGGTAAGACCAGACGTACATGTAGGAAATGATCATGGACCAGAGTTTACACATGGTAAGACCAGACGTACATGTAGGAAATGATCATGGACCAGAGTTTACACATGGTAAGACCAGACGTACATGTAGGAGATGATCATGGACCAGAGTTTACACATGGTAAGACCAGACGTACATGTAGGAAATAACCATGGACCAGAGTTTACACATGGTAAGACCAGACGTACCATCAGTCATTCATGCTCAACCTCAGCCTGAGAATGTCGCTAAAGACGACCTCAGCGACGTTTTCTTATCATAGCCAGAGATACAGGAGACGTACGCAACAATAAACAACTGCAGGTTAAAAACAGTGCATTTAGGACGGTCAAAACATACACAAAACCAGAAGAAAACCACTATTAGCTTCATATTGTATCGGTAAATGTTGTCACACAGTAGTATCCAACCAAAGGCAGAGAGACACTTTGAAACCCAGCAAAGAGCTTGTAGCCTTTAGCTCACACCAGCACACAGCGTATAGGGACATAGCACATTGAGACCTAGCATATAGAAACGTAGCATATAGGGACGTAGCATATAGGGACGTAGCATATAGAAACGTAGCATATAGGGACGTAGCATATAGGGACGTATATAGCATATAGAAACGTAGCATATAGAAAGCATATAGACGTAGCATATAGGGACGTAGCATAATAGGACGTAGCATATAGAAACGTAGCATATAGGGACGTAGCATATAGGGACGTAGCATATAGAAACGTAGCATATAGAAACGTAGCATATAGGACGTAGCATATAGGGACGTAGCATATAGAAACGTAGCATATAGGGACGTAGCATATAGGGACGTAGCATATAGAAACGTAGCATATAGAAACGTAGCATATAGGGACGTAGCATATAGGGACGTAGCATATAGAAACGTAGCATATAGGGACGTAGCATATAGGGACGTAGCATATAGAAACGTAGCATATAGAAACGTAGCATATAGCAACGTAGCATATGGGGACGTAGCATATAGAAACGTAGCATATAGGGACGTAGCATATAGGGACGTAGCATATAGAAACGTAGCATATAGAAACGTAGCATATAGAAACGTAGCATATAGGGACGTAGCATATAGGGACGTAGCATATAGAAACGTAGCATATAGGGACGTAGCATAAAGGGACGTAGCATATAGGGACGTAGCATAAAGGGACGTAGCATATAGGGACGTAGCATATAGGGACGTAGCATATAGAAACGTAGCATATAGGGACGTAGCATAAAGGGACATAGCATAAAGGGACATAGCATAAAGGGACATAGCATAGGGGACGTCGCTCATAGGGGACGTCGCTCATAGGGGACGTCGTTCATAGGGGACGTCGCTCATAGGGGACGTAGTACATAGGGGACGTCGCTCATAGGGGACGTCGCTCATAGGGGACGTAGTACATAGGGGACGTCGCTCATAGGGGACGTCGCTCATAGGGGAGGTCGCTCATAGGGGACGTCGCTCATAGGGTACGTCGCTCATAGGGGACATACCTCATAGGGGACGTAGTACATAGGGGACGTCGCTCATAGGGGACGTCGCTCATAGGGGACGTCGCTCATAGGGGACGTCGCTCATAGGGGACGTCGCTCATAGGGGACATCGCTCATAGGGGACGTCGCTCATAGGGGACGTAGTACATAGGGGACGTCGCTCATAGGGGACGTAGTACATAGGGGACGTCGCTCATAGGGGACGTCGCTCATAGGGGACGTCGCTCATAGGGGACGTAGTACATAGGGGACGTCGCTCATAGGGGACGTCGCTCATAGGGGACGTCGCTCATATAGGGACGTCGCTCATAGGGGACGTAGTACATAGGGGACGTCGCTCATAGGGGACGTCGCTCATAGGGGACGTCGCTCATAGGGGACGTAGTACATAGGGGACGTCGCTCATAGGGGACGTCGCTCATAGGGGACGTCGCTCATAGGGGACGTCGCTCATAGGGGACGTCGCTCATAGGGGACGTAGTACATAGGGGACGTCGCTCATAGGGGACGTCGCTCATAGGGGACGTCGCTCATAGGGGACGTCGCTCATAGGGGACGTAGTACATAGGGGACGTCGCTCATAGGGGACGTCGCTCATAGGGGACGTCGCTCATAGGGGACGTAGTACATAGGGGACGTCGCTCATAGGGGACGTCGCTCATAGGGGACGTCGCTCATAGGGGACGTCGCTCATAGGGGACGTCGCTCATAGGGGACGTCGGTCATAGGGGACGTAGTACATAGGGGACGTCGCTCATAGGGGACGTCGCTCATAGGGGACGTAGTACATAGGGGACGTCGCTCATAGGGGACGTCGCTCATAGGGGACGTCGCTCATAGGGGACGTCGCTCATAGGGGACGTCGCTCATAGGGGACGTCGCTCATAGGGGACGTAGTACATAGGGGACGTCGCTCATAGGGGACGTCGCTCATAGGGGACGTAGTACATAGGGGACGTCGTACATAGGGGACATACCTCATAGGGGACGTAGTACATAGGGGACGTCGCTCATAGGGGACGTCGCTCATAGGGGACGTAGTACATAGGGGACGTCGCTCATAGGGGACGTAGTACATAGGGGACGTCGCTCATAGGGGACGTCGCTCATAGGGGACGTCGCTCATAGGGGACGTCGCTCATAGGGGACGTAGTACATAGGGGACGTCGCTCATAGGGGACGTCGCTCATAGGGGACGTCGCTCATAGGGGACGTCGCTCATAGGGGACATAGTACATAGGGGACGTCGCTCATAGGGGACGTCGCTCATAGGGGACGTCGCTCATAGGGGACGTAGTACATAGGGGACGTCGCTCATAGGAGACGTCGCTCATAGGGGACGTCGCTCATAGGGGACGTCGCTCATAGGGGACGTAGTACATAGGGGACGTCGCTCATAGGGGACGTCGCTCATAGGGGACGTAGTACATAGGGGACGTTGCTCATAGGGGACGTCGCTCATAGGGGACGTAGTACATAGGGGACGTCGCTCATAGGGGACGTAGTACATAGGGGACGTCGCTCATGGGGGACGTCGCTCATAGGGGACGTAGTACATAGGGGACGTCGCTCATAGGGGACGTCGCTCATAGGGGACGTCGCTCATAGGGGACGTCGCTCATAGGGTACGTCGCTATAGGGACATCGCTCATAGGGGACGTAGTACATAGGGGACGTCGCTCATAGGGGACGTCGCTCATAGGGGACGTCGCTCATAGGGGACGTAGTACATAGGGGACGTCGCTCATAGGGGACGTCGCTCATAGGGGACGTCGCTCATAGGGGACGTCGCTCATAGGGGACGTAGTACATAGGGGACGTCGCTCATAGGGGACGTCGCTCATAGGGGACGTCGCTCATAGGGGACGTGCTCATAGGGGACGTAGTACATAGGGGACGTCGCTCATAGGGGACGTCGCTCATAGGGGACGTAGTACATAGGGGACATCGCCTATAGGGGACGTCGCTGATAGGGGACGTCGCTCATAGGGGACGTCGCTCATAGGGGACGTCGCTCATAGGGGACGTAGTACATAGGGGACGTCGCTCATAGGGGACGTCGCTCATAGGGGACGTAGTACATAGGGGACGTCGCTCATAGGGGACGTCGCTCATAGGGGACGTCGCTCATAGGGGACGTCGCTCATAGGGGACGTAGTACATAGGGGACGTCGCTCATAGGGGACGTCGCTCATAGGGGACGTCGCTCATAGGGGACGTAGTACATAGGGGACGTCGCTCATAGGGGACGTAGTACATAGGGGACGTCGCTCATAGGGGACGTCGCTCATAGGGGACGTCGCTCATAGGGGACGTAGTACATAGGGGACGTCGCTCATAGGGGACGTAGTACATAGGGGACGTCGCTCATGGGGGACGTCGCTCATAGGGGACGTCGCTCATAGGGGACATCGCTCATAGGGGACGTAGTACATAGGGGACGTCGCTCATAGGGGACGTAGTACATAGGGGACGTCGCTCATAGGGGACGTAGTACATAGGGGACGTCGCTCATAGGGGACGTCGCTCATAGGGGACGTCGCTCATAGGGGACGTAGTACATAGGGGACGTCGCTCATAAGGGACGTCGCTCATAGGGGACGTCGCTCATAGGGGACGTCGCTCATAGGGGACGTCGCTCATAGGGGACGTCGCTCATAGGGGACGTCGCTCATAGGGGACGTAGTACATAGGGACGTCGCTCATAGGGGACGTCGCTCATAGGGGACGTAGAACATAGGGACGTCGCTCATAGGGACGTAGCACATAGCACTTTGCAGAGAGTAGAAAGCCCATGTGGCTGTGGTCCTTACCAGTCTGGTGAAGAGGGGCACTCCCAGATGCCACAGGTGCTCGTTCAGCAGACCGCTGTACACCACGTTCCCAAACACAGCAATGCTTCCGGACTTACACAACGTGTTTCCTGCAAAGAGAAGGAGAGAGAAAGGGTGAGGCGTGTAAGGGAGGAGAGGGGGAGGCGTGTGGGGGAGGAGCATCGGTAAAGGGAACTGCGTGTGACGTCATTCGTACAGATGTGTAAAGTTCATTAAAGGAACAGCATTTACAAATGTGGCCAAACGTGGTACTGCAGCCTCTCCCACTCTCCCTGACTCAGGTTGCCAGATATGCAGACGAATCCAGCTGGGACCATAACACCTGAATAGACAAGAGTTTTGTCAACAACAAATCTATAACCAACACCTTTTTCACAAAGATAGAAATCCTGGTTCTATTCCTTGTTTTGTCGTTAATGATTTGAGAATCATAACGAGACCTTTTTTAGTTCTGCGCCACATGGTACTTTACCAGTGAGATTAGCTCCACGCGGTGAGTTCTGGCGCCCGGATCACAGACTTTCTGATTGGTGAAACAGTGGAGGGCGGGACATCGAAATTAAAACAATAACAAGATTTAGAGGCTGGAAAAGTAATTTAGAAATTCAAATATCTCTGAACGACTTATCAGTTAAAGAAGTATTGGAAAAGAGCAGTTTATTATTATGACAGATTAGGGCCCTTTAATGATGACAGATTAGGGCCCTTTAATGACAACATATTAGGACCCTTTAATGATGACAGATTAGGGCCCTTTAATGACGACATATTAGGGCCCTTTAATTATGACAGCTTAGGGCCCTTTAATGACGACATATTAGGACCCTTTAATGATGACAGATTAGGGCCCTTTAATGACGACATATTAGGACCCTTTAATGATGACAGATTAGGGCCCTTTAATGACGGCAGATTAGGGCCCTTTAATGATGACAGATTAGGGCCCTTTAATGACGGCAGATTAGGGCCCTTTAATGACGACATATTAGGGCCCTTTAATGACGGCAGATTAGGGATTTTTAACAATGACAGATTAGGGCCCTTTATTGATGACAGATTAGGGCCCTTTAATGATGACAGATTAGGGCCCTTTAATTATGACAGGTTAGGGCCCTTTAATTATGACGGATTTGGGCCCTTTAATGATGACGGATTAGGGCCCTTTAAATATGACGATTAGGGCCCTTTAATGATGACAGATTAGGGCCCTTTAATGATGACAGATTAGGGCCCTTTAATGATGACAGATTAGGGCCCTTTAATGACGACATATTAGGGCCCTTTAAAGATGACAGATTAGGGCCCTTTAATGACGACAGATTAAAGGCCCTTTATTGCCACTCTGAATAAAGTGAGTCTCGTTCTGTTAATGCTTGGACAGTTCTTATAATGAGACAGAAGTGTGGAGAAGTTACAACTAGCCTAATTACCACATGTTGTGAGATTAATTAGAGAAAAAAAGGAAAACCTCAAATCAGAAATATCCAACTGCTGCTGTCTGGCCCGGACTGGCCATCGGGAGCATCGGGAGATCTCCCGGTGGCCTGCGTGTCAAAGTGGCCTGGGCCTGCCCTATCATCACGGTCTTTTTTTTTTTTTTTTTTTTTTTTTTAATTTCATTCTTACGGTCTTTGCAAACTCCTACCCTGCCTGGTGGCCTGGTCCAATGAGCAAGGCCCAGGCCAAAGCCAGTGTTGTGTGTGAACGAGTTCAAAAGAACGCGTTCATTGAACACGCTCATTTTTTCGTGAACGTTGAACTGAACGCAACACATTTTTTAATAAAGAACTTGAACGTGAATTAGTTCATATTATGTGTCATGAACGGCAGACAATTTGTTTTCCATTTAAAACTGAGTGAAATCTGTTTTCTCTTTTGAAACGCAACGAGAGAAAGTTCCTCCCTCCTGTATTCCCCGCACTGTTTCCGCCGAAAACTAAAAATTCCTACGGTTTCCACCGTCTGTGAACGCACCCCGACTCAGTGTACTTGCGGTGCGGCGCTATATGCTAGTGCTATTCATTGGTTGTTGGACTCACATGTGCCGTGATGAAAACACAGGGGTAAGTCAGTGACACAGGGCCGTTTACATTTGACATAAAGTATAGACACACGTTCTGCAGCGCATTACAGTTTGTACTTATGAGCAGAGATGGGACAACTCAGTTCCCATTGAAACCCATGTAAATCTTGTCTGCATTGGAGTCAAAACATCCTGTGCAGTGTACAGGATATAATTATATATATATATATATATATATATATATATATATATATATATATATATATATATATATACCACGTATTGTGATTTCTAGCTCGTAGTGAAAAAAAATATTTATTTGAATATCTTGCAAAAAGTAAAATGAACTGAAATTTGAACTAGTTCAGAATTAAAATTGAGAACTTCGAACGTGAACTGTTCACTTTGAGCATGTATGAACTGAACTTGAACTAGTTCAGAAAAGCTGTGAACTGGCACAACACTGGCCAAAGCTTTACTGTCATTGGGCCAGAGCAAAATTAAACAAATGTGACGTCACACGTCGGCTACACAGCCAGGCCAGCCTGGCAGTGCACCCAGTGTAGCTTCCCCAGCCTAGCAGTGCACCCAGTGTAGCTTCCCCGGTTGAAATCAGTGGTCTCTCCAACTGATGGTTCATACACGTTTTTATTTTTCCTTTTATATGAGCTGTAACGATGTGATTTTACCTTACTACTTTTTTAACAATAATTGATTAGCTTGTTATAGTTATACACTAATGAACACTTAGTTCATTGTGTGTGTGTGTGTGTGTGTGTGTCTTTATTCTCACTAAACTCCATAAACGTTACGTTGCTAAGCAACGTACAACAATCCTTAAAGTCCGAGATTATATAAACAGTCAATATAAAAACAAATTAAGAAAACAAAAGTTTTGACAGTCAATCTTAAAACTATTAAAAGAACATCAAAATACAATGACAAAAACCCAAATTTAGAACCTTGTTTGGCCTGAATGGATGAAAAGCTCCCGGCCTGAAATGTTGTCCCACTCCGGCCCTGGCTGCTGTGAAAATCACATTATGAACCGTAGAGTAAAAATACAAAAGATGGCGATTGAAATATATATTAAAGAAATGAAAGATGAATCCAGAGCAAACAGCCTCGGTTTTGATCCTGGACTTTAGAATAATTAAAAAATATAAGACCACCGTTAAGGCGTACAGCTTATTTATTTTTATTTTATTTTATTTATGCTACTGACTTTGTAGAACTTTGAGATTTGGTGTCAGATGAAAAGTATGTTATAAATAAAATGTATTATTATTATTATTATTAAAATTCATAACCACCATGTCTCTCCTTCGCCCTGACCATAGTCTCTTCAGGGAGCTCGTATCGGGCGCGCAACAACAACAATATATCACTCAGTAGATCATGTGACATCACTGCTTTGTCTGCGTTTAGTCCGTCCCAGATCGAGACTTACACACATCTGACGGGTTCGAAGTGTCCGGGTCCATCTCTAATAAACAGAATATGTACAAGAGGCGGGAAAAGGGAAAACCGTCCAAAATCTTGCGAGAAAAACCACCGTCAAAAGTAACGAGAGACGACGAAGCTGCATCAACATCGACCCAGGACTTTATTGAGCTCAATGTGAGGACGCAAAACACATGTCATTTCACACACACAGACACACACACACACACACACACACACACACACACACAGACACACACACAGAGACACACAGACACACACACACAGACAGACACACACAGACACACACACACACAGACACACACACAGACACAGACAGACACACACAGACACACACACAGACACACACACAGACACACACACACAGACAGACACACACACACAGACAGACACACACAGACACACACACACACACAGACACAGATAGACACACACACACACAGAAACACACACACAGACAGACACACACACAGACACACACACACACACACAAGAATTGAAAGAAAAAGAAAAATATTCATCCATTAAGCATATATAAAAAATATTGTTATTATTCAAGAAGCATGAACAATAACATTGGACAATTATAGTTATATTTGTATACAGATTTTTTTTAATGAAAAGAGCCGCTTCATTGCACATATATATATTAGTCACAAAGTAAGTTAGTAAGTAATGTTTAATTATATAGCACATTTTACAGACCAAGGTACAGACCCAAAGGTACAGACCCAAAGGTACAGACCCAAAGCACTTTCCAATGTTCAGAGTCAGATATTGTTCCGATCCTTCCACACACGGTGATGACAGAAGCGAGTCCAGAACACACTGGACCATCAAAGCCTCTGACCCAACACCATCCATTCACTCTCTCATTTACACTCAGACCTACGCAGACACGGGGAGAACATGCAAACTCCACTCAGAAGGGCCCTGTTCCGACCGGGATTCGAACCCAGGACCTTCTTGCTGAGAGGCGAGAGAGCTATCCACTCAGTCACCGTGCCGCCCGAAAAAGCCATTTTCTGGTTATATGCAGTATAAGTAGTGTCCATATGTATTGCATCACGTCTCCATGGCAACACCTGCTCAACGACTGTACTTCAACAACCACAAACCTGCAAAAGTACTTATTTTATCTGCACTTATTTAGCGACTAATGCCTCTCTGCACATTCTCCCACAGCAGCAGGACTCAGAGACGTCGTTACCTCCTCGCTCACAGCCCTACATCCTCTCGTTGCCTCACCGTATTTCTTCGCCGTAGCCTTTTTCCGCCGCTGACCCCGAGACCTCGGAGGAGCCAGGGTCCGGCCGCGCAAATATTAAAGCTCCCGGTTTTATGACTACATCTGTCGCGGCCGCTGCTGATACAAGTCTCATTACTAATTTACACTTCTGGGCTGAATAATACCGGCGAAAATATGTTTAAACAGCGTTGGGGGAGCGAGGAATGTGGCGGTTATGGCGGTTATGGCGGTTATGGTGCAAACTGGGAGATGTATGGAAGCACAGAGGTGACGTGGGGCTGTGTGCGTGGATCAGCCATAACATTATGACCAGCGGACACGTGCGGAGTCGCGGTGAGTGATAACATCCAATATACCGACCACGCCGACGGATTGCGACGGATGTCTTGTAATAATGGGTCAACGTGGAGCGGAGACGAGAATGAT